CTCATTATAATATCAGCCCGCTCACTCATTAACTCACATGGTAAAGGTTACATAAGGAAACAATAATCATGTATACAGGTTTAAAAAGAAGCCCAATGGACGTTTGCACTTTTTTTTCCTTGCTTTTCCATTGCTGTGAATGGTGTGAAAACTGTGAAAGCAACTATATTTGGTGATGGTCATGGGGCATCCACTTTATTTATTTTTCAAATTTACTTAAATGCAACTCTCTGTTTCCAAAAGTCAGCCCTTTTGAATATTTTGGAGTTTGTAGCTACAAGAGCATACAACACGAAATCAGCTGAGCTTCAGAAATTATCCACAATACGGCACTTAGCAAATGTCTTATTATTCAAGTACAAAGGATTGCTAACACAAATAAACAAACAAACAAACAATTGTGGACATTTAAGAACTATAAATGCACAATTCTGTTTTGTTTTCTTAAAGCATTTTCTAAGTTAAAAAATATGTCTTACAAAAAAATAAAACCTCTGTTTTATCAAAGTTGTTTCATCTCCTTCGCAATTCGTAGATGCCAAGGAAATTAAACACAGCTGTTTATCCACAAAAAATGAACATCTGCTTTTCACTGGTTTGCCATTTACGTACATATCAAACCTTTCAAACAATGTAATAAATATATATTTAAATTTTTTTAAATAAAACCCCAGTTATAACAGTGAAGCGACACGTCAGAATATAGAAGTGTGATGTGTCTATTCATATAACATCAGAGTTGGTAATTACTAAGCAAAAAATTTTCAGGTAAATTAATTGGACAGAGAATTAGAAATTTTAAGCCAAAAAAAATTAACTGGAATGCAACTGGTGATTTGTTTTTCCTATTAAGTTAGTATGACCTACTATCTGAATTTCGATGGACAATTCCTGGCAATTCACTGTATAGTGAATAACGCTGCAACATTGGCTCAGTTAGGTCTGAATAAAGCGTAATCAAATGGATGACAAAAAATGGCATGTTACGCATGTGCAAAATATGTTGGATTGTTTTGAATTTTTTTGATTAAATGGTATGAGCACTCATTCCTAATATCTTGCTATAAATCTTAAAAGTTTGAAGCCTTTAAAAGTCATGTTTTGTCTTACCTTTTTATCTTATATTTACTACATTAAACTGATGGCTTTTTTCACTCAAGTGTAGACTTATGCAAGGTGAAAAAAAATCTAAATTGGCTGAACCACTTCATCCAAAAAGACAAACAAATTTTAAGATGGCAGAACTTTGCAGTTTGGGTCAACAGAATTTTGTTCATCAAAAAAATTGAGAAGCAAATTGCATTATCCAAAAAAACAGTAAAAAGCATTCCTATTAGTGTTCTGCTAATATTTATCGCTACAATCACAAACCAAAATAAATCATGCAATGGGAGAGCATGTTCGTTTTGATTTGTGAGTCAGAATTCCACCAGTGGCACCAGTATTAGAAATGATTGATTGGAAAAAAGATTATTGATGGTTAGGGGACATCACAATATGTTGAGTCTATTCACAGATAACATGGGGAACGACCAATAGAATGAAAAAGGGAGTAGTAAAAAAATATATATTTATATACTATATATTTAATGCATGAGCCAGCACCCGTCCGTACGTGAGCACCAAGTCAGAGGCTTCTCATTGAGAAGTCTCTGATTGGGTTTTTTCCTGTGAAGAGACTTAAAGTCTCTTCTGGGGAAAAAAGGGAGGGCTTGCTAAGGCTGCAGTTCATAAGATCTGCAGACTTTGCAAGCTCTTTTAAAATATACCCTCAATGAATACATGCATTAAAAATGCATGCATGTATTCACTGGAGGTATCTCTACTAAACAGTGATTTTTTTTTTTTGATTTTTTTATTTTTATATGGCCAGTGGAGCGCACCTTTAAGTTTGAAATGCGTTAGGTGTAGGCTTTTCCCTGGTGTTGCAGTTCCTTATGCCTACTTTGTCTATACCAAGCTGCAATTATCTTTGTACGTTGTTGGAGTGTTGTGTATTTTCTTTCGAGCAAGCAGCTTTTCTGTTTTTAGATGATTCTGCTTCAGCCCTTACAAGGTTAATTTGTTAAAGAATGTGGACAAATAAAAGACAATGCAGTTAATATAATAATAAATATAAAACAAGGCATTATTTTGTGTACTTGTTCTTCCTACATTTAACAAAGGTTTTAATTTGCATAATGCATTAGTGATCCTACTGAATGTATTGTTAAATGATAGCCTAAATAATGCTACCACTACCAAAAAAATGTAAACACATTGCATATATAACAAGCTCATAACAAGCTCATGGAAGTTAGGTCAAAACAGAAATGATGTATGTATAGATTACTGTCTAGGAATACCTTTAACAAAATGCATATTTAACATTTCTATTTTTACCCTTTACAGAAAAATATGACAGAGCATGATATAAAGTATATGCAAGATTTCATATAATTGATTTTGCAATACTAAATAATAAAATAATCATAAAAATAGCTTAACTCCTTAGTGACCAGACTGCTTTTCAATTTTCTTTGAGATGGTATGGCAACCCAGAAATGAAAATTAGCCCTACCATGACATACCATTTGAAAAAGTAGACAGCCCAGAGTACTCAAAATGTGGTATGTCCAGCTTTTTGTAGTAGCCACTTAATTTTTATGATTATTTTAGTATTTAGTATTGCAAAATCAATTATATGAAATCTTGCATATACTTTATATCATGCTCTGTTATATTTTTCTGTAAAGGGTAAAAATAAAAATGCTAAATATGCATTGTTTTAAAGGTATTCCTAGACAGTATTCTATACATACATCATTTCTGTTTTGACATAACTTCATGAGCTTGTTATGAGCTTGTTATGTGTCAGATACTTTATTTTATTATTTTGTTCCTTAGAGAAATGCAGTCAATAGAGTTTAGTAATTTTAGTTATTGTTGTCTATCAGCAGCTTGTCAGAACAAATGCTTGATGCACTTTTGGAATTGTAAAAAGAAAATGGTAAAAATAGCTGTATAAGGTTATAAATATACACACATTTTTTTACAATTAAGAAAGACTTGCCAAAAAAAGATCAAAGTTAAACAAAAATCACTGAGACACCTTTACTGTGTGTTTTCAATAAAATGTTAACTTTTATTGTAAAATAGATTGTTAAATGAAAAAAAATAATATAGCAAGAAATGTAAGATGCTGTCCAAAAAAAATCTTTTAAAAATAACTCATACATTGTTGAATCAGAGGAATAATGGGCTGTTATGTTTATAAGAATATTCTGAGGTCATCATAGGAAAAAATTCTTACTAAATTGTAAAATAAAGAAAAGAATTAACAAACAAAATGTTTTTACTACATTAGTGAGTTGCTAAAATGTGTCCTTGTTTTTTTTCAAATTTCTCTTCAAAACAATTTGGTATTTAGTGAATAAATCTCAATGTATCACAATCATAATATAGCTAATGGCAGAAAAAGGGCTTTAAAAAAAATGCAAGCTAAGTCAAAGTGCTTTGATTAATTGGCTTGTAAGACAACTCAGCAGAGAGCTCTTTCAGGCAAATCTCACTTCTCTCGAGACTTGCATGAGTTACAAACTAAAACAAAAAGCCTTTAATCACTTAGTGACCAGATTGTTTTTTAAATTTTCTTACCAGGGCTGTTTTTACATTTCTGTGGTGTAGAAATGTATAAAATATGATGAAAAATTTAAAAAACACACTTTTTCTAACTTTGACCCACAAAATCTGTTACGCATCTACAACCGCCAAAAAACACCCATGCTAAATAGTTTCTAAATTTTGTCCCGAGTTTAGAAATACCCAATGTTAACATGTTCTTAGCTTTTGTTTGCCAGTTAGAGGGCTATAAGTACAAGTAGGACATGTAGGAAATGTATATTTTTAAAATGTATCAATAGTGACATTGTAACACTGTTATTTATCATAAATCTCTGAATCACACCTCACATGATTCAATATGGGATATGTCCAGTCTTTTTTAGTAGCCACTTAGTCACAAACACTGGCCAAAGTTAGCATTTATATTTGTTTGTATTTTAAAAATGCAAAAAACAATTATGAAGGCTAATTTTGGCCAGTGTTTGTGACTAAGTGGCTACTTCCTGACGAAAGTTCTGCACAAGAACTGAAACGTTGACACTTTGTGGCAGTTGCTGAATAAAGCTAAGTTACTTTTTTCACTATACCTATGAAGTCCCTTGAGTGCTACTTTCTACTGTTTTGTTCTATATATATATATATATATAGTTCATATTATTTTTATTTATTTATATATACATAGATATATAATTGTATTCTAAGTGTATTTTGCTAATATATATATATATAAATATCAAAAAAAATTACATGTATATATATCTAATTTTTTGTAATTTGAAAAAATATTTTTAAATTTTTTAAATACATTTCCTGGCCATATCCATGGCAGCACAACAATGGGTAGCTCCTCCCCTATCCCTAGTTAGACAGGAACTAATTAAAATAAGGGTACAAATACCCCCTCCTACCTCCTCCTCCCTCAGTCTTTTTGTTCCTGTCCTATCCCTATAGGACCAAATTAGTCTATTTTCAGGACTATAACCACTTTTCTTTTATGGCTTACCTGAGGGTTTTTACCTTCTGTCCTCAAGGAAGTTCAGCCTCTCTTCCTTGGGAAGCTTCAGTATCCGGCCCTGTGCAAAGGTGTCCCCCTGAAGATACCCCCTTAGTGACCGGGGGTTTTACTTGCAGTGACCCTAGGGGTAGCAAGAGAAAAAAATGCCAAATAACTCTGATTCCCTGCAGTGACCAAGAGGTAGCAGGAAGTGGCAAGAAGACTTTATCCTGGATGGATTTCTGCATTTTACAACAGCCCACATGTATGTATGTACAAATACTTTTTACAATATATACTGTATTTGTTAGATCATATGTGTGGGTTTTTTCCCCCCCCTGCCTATTATTTCTGTGTACTTTTTCTTTCACGCCTTCTCGGCGTCCTGTTTGTCCGGGTGCGCATGCGCGCCGTTTCGCGCGTGCACGTTTGTATCGCGTGCACGCTAGCTTCATTCGCGTGCACGCCGGGTCCGCGCGCACGCTATACACCGCGCATGCGTCTGGTCCCCATGAGGCAGTTACAGTGCCTCCTACTCCGGAGTAGCTTCCGGGTTTGTGCCGCGCATGCGCAGTTAACGAGCAATGAATTCGCTCGTTTTGAGCATGCGCGGATAGGCGGTGACGTCAGATATGACGTCACACGCCTATTTAAGCGCCAAAGTTGAATTAAATTATTACCTGATGTCCTCATTAGGTCTTTAGAGGACCTGTTTTCTTACAGTTCTCAATTTGAATTGCGTTTATATTTTACTGAAAATCTGAAGGTAAGCTTTACTTCTTAAAGGTATATACACATTTTTTTCATTTCTTTACTCCTTTCTTTCTATAACAATAAGAATTCCTTTTTTAGACTGTTCATAATCAACTCCAAAATGGAAAAAGACAAAAGGAGATCAATTTCTTCTGATTCGGACTCTTCTGGATATAAAAATAGGTCACACTCTAAGAGTTATAGGTAAGCCATATCACATCATTTTTTTCCCTTATCCGGAATATGATACATGAAATAAAAGAGTGCTAATGTGAGATATTTCCCTATCATGATAGTTCTACGGGAAAGAAAACAGTGAGATCATCCAAAGGAAAATCTCCAAAGAAAAATCAATGCGAAGCCTGTAATAATAAACCGCTGGAAGGCAAACGGTTATGCGCAGAATGTTTATCTGAAGCAGCTGGAACATCTAATCCTTCAATGGAATTTGTACAGTTCATAAAACAAGCGGTGGCTCAAGGTATCAAAGAAGCAGGGGCAAGTCACAAAAGACCCCGGTTACATGAACCTTCGGATTACCAACGTAATGATTCGTCAGATGAATCCATGGATATGGAATCATACCAGGGGAATTTCTTATCTTCAGACGAAGAAGAAACTCAGGCCCCTGCAGATTTTTTAGAACCTGCTCAGATAGACCACCTCATTTACAAAGTCCGTAAATCTTTGAGCTTGAAGGAGGCAGTTGCAGAGCAGTCAACCTCTTATCGTTATTTCTCAGATTTGAGAAAGAAAAGAGCTACCTTTCCAGTACATGATACTATTAAGGAATTAATTAAAGACGAGTGGTCTAACACAGATAAGAAGCTTTCAGCACAAGGCAGAATATCTCGCCTCTATCCTTTTGACAAGTCTGATTCATACCATTGGGATAATGCCCCTAAGGTAGATGCGGCAGTAGTTCGACTCGCAAAACACACCACATTACCAGTAGATGATGCAGGCTCATTTAGACACCCAATGGACAAAAAGATGGATCTGCATCTCTCAAAAGCTTATGTAGCAGCAGGGACTGGTTTTCACCCTGCAATAGCCCTTACTTCAGTATCCAGGGCCTTAAAAATCTGGATCGAAAACTTGGAAGAAGATATCAGAGATGGGAGAAACAGATCTTCTCTTCTGGAAAGATTAAATGATATTAAACTGGCCGTTGACTTTACCTCAGAATCCTCAGTGGACATGGTGAAAGCTTTAGCAAGAAACATGGCTCTTTCAATTTCAGCTAGAAGAGCTTTATGGCTGAGATCCTGGTCCGCAGATTCATCATCAAAGTCTAGTCTATGCGCCCTTCCTTTTCATGGTGAGATGTTGTTTGGTAAAAATCTAGACGAGTGCATCAAAAGAGCTGCAGAAGGTAAGAGAGCCTTTCTCCCACAAGACCGGAAAACCCGTGGATCCTTTCGAGCCAGAAGATACTCTGAATACCCCTCTTTTCGTGATACCAGATCTTATAAACCAGGAAGAGAATATGGAAGATCCATTCCATGGAGAGGAGGTCATTCATCCAACAGAGGAGGAAAGTCTAGAGGTTCCTCATTTCACAAGAAGCCTTTATGACAAACCCACCTACCATCCTGGAGGAGTAGGTGCCCGTCTACTTCTATTCCAGAATATTTGGAAACATTCAACTCAAGACAGATGGGTGCTGGATATCATACAGAGAGGTTATCTTATAGAATTCTCCACAAGGCCGCCTCCTCGCTCCTTCCAGAAGACAATCTGGCCAAGAGATGTAGAAAAAAGAGATTCCCTAAAAAAGTTTATCTCATCCCTTCAAGACGATGGAGTTATCGTTCAAGTTCCAAGAGCTCAACAAACACATGGGTTTTACTCCCATATCTTTCTCACCAGAAAATCCACAGGGGGATGGAGATAAGCAGACTAAACAAGTTCCTAAACATAAGGAAATTCAAGATGGAGTCTCTTCAATCCATTGTAAAAGCAGTTTTTCCAGATCAATGGCTCATGTCAATAGACCTGGCAGACGCATATTTCCATATTCCCATAGCACCCCAGCATCAAAAATTCCTCAGATTCGCTGTAGAAGAGGGTCATTTTCAGTTCCGTGCTCTCCCTTTTGGGCTAAGCACTGCTCCGCGTACTTTCTCAAAAGTTCTGGTGGTTCTCATCGCAGAACTCAGGAAGAAAGGCATTGCAGTATATCATTACCTCGACGACATCTTGATTCTGGCAGAAAACAGAGATATATTAGAAGATCACGGCCTGATATGTATACAGTATCTTCAACAACACGGATGGAAGATCAATTTTGCCAAAAGCAACCTAAAGCCATCCCAGAGCATGATATATCTAGGAGCAGCATTCAACACTGCAGAAGGTTCCGTCCAACTGTCCCCAGAAAGGGGTATGAAAATTCGGAAAAAGGTCAAAGACATGTTAGCATCCAGTGTTTCCTCAGCAGAGACAACTATGAGCCTCCTGGGATCAATGTCCTCCACCATAGGACTTACGAGATGGGCCCAATGGAGAATGAGGCCTTTCCAAAGGAATTTCCTTTCTCAATTCAAGGGCAATCTGTCTCAACCTATAGTGATCCCTCCTCACGTACAAAAATCCCTGAAGTGGTGGACCCAGAAAGAATCTCTCTTCAGAGGTTATCCCTTATGAAACATTCCATGGATCATCATCACCACAGATGCCAGTCAATGGGGCTGGGGAGCCCACCTTCAAGACAACTATGTTCAGGGGAAATGGGCATTTTCAACCTCCGACACCCCTTCAAATCTTCTAGAACTTCTGGCAGTTTTCAAGGCTCTAATACACTTCCAGCAACTTTTACTTCACAAATGGGTCAAGATCAGGACAGACAATGCCACAGTTGTGGCATATATAAATCACCAAGGAGGGACAAGAAGTTGCAGAATGATGAAACTTATGAAACCTTTGATGGCCTGGGCTCAAATGAATTTGGAGAATATCTCTGCAATACATCTCCCAGGAACTCAGAACTCTGTGGCAGACTTTCTCAGCAGGGTGAGATTAGACCCGGGAGAATGGAGTCTATCAGACATCATATTTCTACAGATCGTAGAAAAATGGGGCCTTCCCCAGATAGATCTAATGGCTACAAGCAACAACAGAAAAGTCAAGAACTTCTTTTCGAGAATTCCAGATCCCCAGGCCATAGGAAGAGACGCATTGACATGCAGTTGGAACTTCAACCTGGCTTATGCCTTTCCTCCGAAACCCCTCATCTTCCCTCTGCTAAGGAGACTACGACTAGAGAAGACATCACTGATTCTAATAGCCCCTTTTTGGCCTCGCAGACCTTGGTTTCCGCTCCTACTAAGTCTGTGCAAGAAGGATCCATGGCGCCTTCCAGTTGTCCCATTCCTGTTACATCAGGGTCCAATTCATCATCCAAACCCAGCATCCCTTCATCTGATGGCATGGTACTTGAAAGGGATGGGTTAAAGAACAAGGGATTTTCGAGATCAGTTATCGAGACACTTCTTCAAGCAAGGAAGAAGTCCACTTTATCCACTTACTACAGAATATGGGATGTATTTTCTTCATGGGCCAGTTCAAGGCCCTTTGATATGTTGAACCCTTCAACTACTGACATTCTTGATTTTTTACAATCAGGTCTAGAGAAGGGATTGAGTTATAACACTCTAAAAGTGCATGTTTCTGCCCTCTCTGCTTTAACTAATCATAGATGGGCACTGGATCCAGACATAGCTAGATTTTTGACTGCAGTCCTCAAGATCAAGCCACCCATTAAGTCTATTACTCCGCCATGGGATCTCCCTCTGGTCCTGAAGGCTCTTAAAGCAGATCCTTTTGAACCTATGGCATCTATTTCCTGTCATCTTCTCACGATCAAGACAGTTCTACTAGTAGCCCTAGCCTCTGGTAGAAGGGTTTCTGATCTTCAGGCTCTTTCGGCTCGAGAACCTTTTACTATATTTCATAAGGACAGAGTCATCCTGAGAACGGTTCCAGAATTCCGCCCTAAGGTAACTTCAGAGTTCCATATGAATGAAGAAATAATCCTTCCAGCATTAAGTACAGAAGAATCTAATAACAGGGAAGACGCTGATGATGATGCTATCGACCTAGTAAGATGTCTTAAGATATATATACAAAGATCCTCAGAATGGCGTATTTCGGAAAGGCTTTTTGTTATTCCTAATGGCCCTAGGAAGGGTCTGCAAGCTTCGAAAGCCACTATCAGCAGATGGATAGTTTCGGCCATTATCCAATCTTATAGATCATCTAAAACTAGTGTTCCTGAAGGTTTGAAAGCTCATTCTACACGTTCCCTTTCTTCATCCTGGGCAGCTGCAGCAAAGGTTTCTACAGAACTGATTTGCAAAGCAGCCACTTGGTCATCTTCTAATACATTTATTAGACATTATCGTTTAGATGTAAGAGCTGGCCAATACGATGGATTTGGCAGATCAGTTCTTTCTGCCTCAAAGGATTAACTACTATTCTTTTTGTTCATCACATTGAATTGTTTGTGACAATACACTTGCATTATATAATAATGTGTCTGAGTTTTTCTTTCCCTCCCTTGGTTTTAGCTTGGGTATTACCCATTGTTGTGCTGCCATGGATATGGCCAGGAAAGAGATAAATTTACTCATACTTACCGTAATTTTCTTTTCCTGGTCATAGGCCATGGCAGCACAAAGGTCCCACCCAGGGATATTGCTGTTAACTAGACTGAGGGAGGAGGAGGTAGGAGGGGGTATTTGTACCCTTATTTTAATTAGTTCCTGTCTAACTAGGGATAGGGGAGGAGCTACCCATTGTTGTGCTGCCATGGCCTATGACCAGGAAAAGAAAATTACGGTAAGTATGAGTAAATTTATCTCTTTTTAATTAATAGTAGCTATTATATATGATATATATATATATATATAT